AAGTAATTCATTTAGGGTATCCCTATCTCATACAGACCATTGTTGATGCTCATTTGCTAGAAACGTTAGATAGCGTGTGCAAATGTGTGTTTCATGCATAGTTGATATTCAGTTGTTGTGCTATTGATAAAAAAATATACTAATAGTGAGTCAGTTATACTTTAAATTTGCTCCTACCAATAATATCATTAAGTCAAAATACATGAATCACCAAACAATTAAAAAGTCTGTTGATGACAAAATTCTGATTATGATGAACAGCCGTGACCACAATATTCCTCCACGTGTGGTGAGATGGAGACTCTCATGCCCACCACCATAAAAAAAACACACTGCTCCTTACTAAACAGTTAGACTCCAGATTATAGGTGGTCTAACAGAGCGTGATGCTGAAAATCCACTACATTGCCAAAAGTATTAGGCCAGCCCTCCAAATCATTGAATTCAGGTATTCCAATCACCTCCATGGCCACAGTTGTATAAAATCAAGCCCCTAGGCATGCAGACTGCTTCTACAAACATTTGTGAAAGAATGGGTCACTCTCAGGAGCTCAGTGAATTCAAGCGTGGTACCGTGATAGGTTGCCACCTGTGCAATAAGTCCATCCGTGACATTTCCTGGCTACTAAATATTCCACGCTCAACTGTTAGTGGGATTATAACAAAGTGGAAGCAACTGGGAACAACGGCAACTCAGCCACCAAGTTGTAGGTCAGCAGGGTCAGCACATGCTGAAGCGCACAGTTAACAGAAGTTGCCAACTGTCTGCAGAGTCAATAGCTAAAGTCCTCCAAACTTCATGTGGCCTTCAAATTAGCACAACAACATGAATAGAAAGCTTCATGGAATGGGTTTCCATGGCCAAGCAGCTGCATCCAAGCCTTACAGCACCAAGTGCAATATAAATCATCAGATGCAGTGGTGTAAAGCACGCCACCACTGGACTCTAGAGCAGTGGAGATGTGTTCTCTGGAGTGACAAATCACGCTTCTCTGTCTGGCAATCCAATGGACATGTCTGGATTTGGCTATTGCCAAGAGAACGGTACTTGCCTGACTGCATTGTGCCAAGTATAAAGTTTGGCGGAGGGGTGATTATGGTGTGGGGTTGTTTTTCAGCGGTTGGGTTTGGCCCCTAAGTTCCATTTTGGACAATTTCATGCTCTCAACTTTGTGTTCGACCCATCACTAATGTTTGCCTATTGTAATATATAAATTCATCTTTGTCCTACCCAAATATTGCTTATTGCACAAACAGTTCTACATGTATACAAATGAAGAAAATATAGATGCCGCGCTCTATCAATACCTATTACCTGTATATAGTATAAAAACTGTAATTACATTAAATCTCTAAAAGCTGCATGATCTCTTATGTGTAACCATACATGATGGTAATGCCAATCAATACCCAAACATGTGTTAATAGTGAATAAATAAATTAGGAAACTATATATCAAAATTGGTGATATAAAAAAAAAAAAAAAATAATATAATAAGTCTGTACAAAATTATTCAAATTTGTGTCCTTCGATGATTAAATAAATAATCCAATTAATAAATTGAAAAATATGAAAAATTCATAAAAAGTGAGATTCCATAAATATTGTGCAAAAACACAAAACAAACTTGGTGCAGAGTTCAGCAAAGATGAAATATCTGTGTGCTCTCCTTCCAATCAGCCTGAGGTGATGCAGGTGAAGGTTGCAGATAGAGGTCTACTATGTAAGCCTGGATGGTCATATGGATCTCTCCCTCCTCAGATCTTTCCATGATCCAGCCCTTTAGACATTCCTCATATAGATCATGTAAATAGAGAAAAGTGCCTAGTGCTTTATCGTTAAAAAAAACACTTTAATTTGTGCTCAGTATGCACTCACATTGATTAAAAACAATCTGCACTTTGTATAATAGCCGCTTAAAGCGGTGAAGACCAGCCTCTGTGTGCTCGCATACACTACCAGTGCTCGCTGTGTAAGGATGCGTGGTGATGTCACTGCCCCTCCCCAACGCGTATCTCCACATGTATACTGCATAAGTAGTCGAACATATGATGAAATGTTTACTATTATACACCTTGTTTGTCACTTCAGATCTATTTTCTTTTGTTCTTAAACAGTTTCTCCCCACTAGTTTGCAAACTTTACATTTTCTACAGGGAAAGATACCGACCAAATTCCCAAACATGAATGCTTTCTGAGGCTTCTGAACCACATTGTGGGCTATGAAATGTCTCAAAGCCATTGCCTTTTTATATATAACAGAAGGTTTATCAGGAATTGTATCACCCAGGGGTGGACTGATCATTTGGAAACTCGGGCACTGCCCGAGGGCCCGGGGTCAGTAGGGGGCCCCATAAGATGCCCCTGGTACCTTTTTCATAGGCTTTTTTGAGTTTGGGCAAGGACACAGGGGCCCCATGATCCCCTATTGCCGGGGGGCCCCATGATTTGTCAGTCCGCCCCTGGTATCACCTATAATCCTATCATCAGAGGCGTCACTAGGGTTGGTGTCACCCGGTGCAGTAACACGTGGTGTCAACCCACTCCCGAGCTCTCTGTTGGGAGATGGAAGGCTGTACTGTGCAGAGACTGGCCAGTGATGTGTGATGCAGAGGACTGGCTATGGCTGGGGTCATTACCTATCATGGACTGACATGTAGAGTAGGAGCCGTCCAATCAGAGGGCGGGGGGCGGGCTCTGCTCCAGTGTATGAGGGACAGGCTGGGTGTGAATTGGCCTGCAGCAGCTGCTGTAATCCTGGGGATCGGACCCCCCACCCCACCAGGACTTGACATCTCACCCCCCCCCCCGCATGGCACGGCTATTCCTGGGGCTGCAGGAGGGATGAGGAGCCCCGGTACCCGAGGAGAGGACAGGGCACACTCTGCTAGGATTAATGACAGCCACAGACAGCTCTTCTTTTCATTTTGGTGTCAACCCTGTGATGGTGTCACCCGGTGCGGCCCACAGTAGGGGGCCCCTAGTGATGCCACTGCCTATCATTCTTAATAACATCCCAATGTTTATTCAATATTTTTCAGATCTTAGAATGTTGTATTGAAAAAATTGTGGAGAAAGCCCACTCACATTTACTATTATCCTGTTTCATAAGGGTTGTATTTAAAAGGTGTTTCTCTTGTAATCTGGGAAATTTGTGTTATTTCTACATTTAAATCCTGTTCATTCTAACCATTTACCATAGATCTTTCTTTCAACATTTCTGCTTGTAGAAGGAAATCAGAAATATTGGAGCAGTTCCTGCATAAACGCATGAATTGTCCCCTAGGGATGCAGATAACCATGAAAGATTATGACAACTGCTAAGTGGAATGTATTCATTTTTGTTAGTCTTTTTATAAAAAATGTTTTAGCGGCTAATGATTGTTTCTCTTAAAAACAGTGAGGTCTAAGATAGTTAATCTCTGTGTTACTCAGTTCACATGACCATTTTATCTCTAAATCATAATTATTCAAAGAAATCATAAATAATCATGTAATTTCATCTGTTCCCCACCATATTAAGAGGGCCTCATCGATGAATCTTTTCCAGATGACTACCTCAGCCATGTTTTTATTATACTGTACATAGCACCTTCCTCCCAGTGGGCCATAAACATGTTGACCACACTGGGAGAAAACCTACCCTCTTACTCATAGCTACTCCCATTTTCTGTAAATTGTACTGTTCAGTAGACAAAAAAAGTCCAAGAGATCTAAAATAAACTTCTTTTGTCTATCACATATAGAATTATGATTATCAATTGTAAGTAGTTTATATACACAATATTATACTCAGGGCTTTTTTTTCAGTGGGAACATGGGGAAATGCAGTGCCGGCACCTTCAGCACTGAATGCATGTAATGGCAAGGGGTGCTGGGGTTACATAGTTACATAGTTAGTCTGGCTGAAAAAAAACAAAAGTCCATCCAGTTCAACCATAAAAAAAAAAAGTTAAGTTATAATCCTATACCCACAGTTGATCCAGAGGAAGGCAAAAAAACCCCAGCAAAGCATTATCCAATTTGCTCCTGCTGGGAAAAAAATGATTTCCTGATCCCCCGAGAGGCAATCAGAGATTTCCTGGATCAATTTACTGGATGTTAGTATCCAGTTATTTTCTGTTTATCTAAGGGTATGCTGGAGGGTCTATTGATGCTGACTGCTGGGGGATCTATTGTCACTGGATGGGGATCTATTTTTGCATGGTGGTCTATTGTTGCTGGGGTGGGTCAATTGTTTCCAGAAGGGATTTAATGTTTAGGGAGGGGTCTATTGTTGCTTGTTGATGGGAGATCTTTTGTTGCTGCCTGGGGTCTATTGTTGTTGGGGTGGTATTTAGCTGTAGGGGTCCATTGTTGCTGGGGGAGTTTTTGTTGCAGGGGATGTATTTTACTGCTATTACTGCTGTTATCATCAACAAATTCCATACAAAATGATACTTGGCTCTATATGCTCTAAAAGGAGCGGTAGTGGGAGGTGGGTAGGGGGTGGAACCAAAGAACAATGCTTGGAGGTGGGTAGGGGACAGAAACAAGGGGTGAATCAGAAGGGTGTGGGGTTCCTGCACCTATTCTCTGAGAAAAAAGCCATGATTATACTACAGAGGTTTATGCTTTCTTGCTTTGCCTCAAAATAATCTTCATTATATTACCTTTTTGATCTTGTGTTTAGATACACTTTAAGGCACATATGTGGTTTAGCATCAAATTTTGGATTCCAAGTAGTGTTTATATACTAGTGTTGCCTTTTTTTATTCTAAATGGGTATGGACTTTATATTGTGGGAATCAAGCTTTTCTAAATTAAATAGGTATACCTTCTATAAACATACTGATTACTTGAAGTGCACAGGTCCCTTTGTTTTCTATTTTCTTTCTGTCAAATGTGTCAAGGGCATGGAGAACCTTAATATGAGCAAACAAGATCTTGAAGAACGTGGCGGTAAATCAGGGAACATATACCTTCATTTTGTAAAGGCTTGATTTTATTTACATATATTCTAGGTGCAACATATTTGTTTTCTGAAAGAATCCTTAATATCTTTATTCCGTAAACTATACACAATTGGGTTTAGCATTGGCGGTAATACTGTGTAGAACATAGCCACCAGAGAGTCAATATCAGCTGAGTAAGAAGCAGTTGGCCGAACATACATGAAGATTGATGGCAGAAAGTACATGTTCACCACCACGAAATGGGAAGCACAGGTGGAAAATGCTTTCTTACGCCCTTTGGATGATGCTATCTTGAGCACAGACCTGATTATTTGAACATAGGATGTCACAATTAGAGAAAAACATAATGCAATTACAATGGCACTAAGAGTGGAACCTACTGCCACATTGAGTGAGGTGTCAGCACAAGCTAACTGAAGCAATGGTGGGTGATCACAGTAATAATGGTGAATAATGTTTGGGCCACAGAAAGGCAACCTAAAAGCCAGCGTGATCATTGCAATTGGAAATACTAAGCCTAGTATCCATGATGCCATAGCTAGGATGATATATACATGTCTGACCATGATGTTATGGTAATGGAGTGGAGAACAGATGGCCACATAGCGATCATAGGCCATCGCAGCCAGAAGAAAACACTCAACTGCTTGACAAACAATAAAGAAATACATTTGGAGGAAGCACCCCACAAAAGAGATAACTTCATTGTTCATTGAGAACTTGGCAAGCATCTTGGGGATGTTTACAGTGGTGGAACTCATGTCCAAGAATGAGAGATTGCTGACAAAGAAATACATTGGAGTGTGAAGTTTTTGATCAAAAATAATGAGGAGCAATATGATGCCATTTCCAGTGATAGCGAAAAGGTAGACATAGAGAAAAAAAAACAAAAAAGAAGAGTGTTGAGACTTTGAAGACTTGGAAAGCCAAAAATGATAAACTCAGTCACCAGTTTTGTAGAGACATTAGAAATGTCCACATCACGATAGAATACTGTATTCACCTACACATGAACAAGATTATAATGTTTAATAGAATATTTGGTACAGTTTTTTTCAAAAAGGTTACATTCATTTAATAGCACATGGACTTATAAAACATTGTAAATTCTTTACGGAGAAAGGAGGAATCTGTTCAGGACTGAGATTCTGCAACTGTAGGAAATCAGTCTAGGGCTTAGTACACAAACTATTGGCCAGAGCAATGTGGTCTAAATGCTACATAAACTGCTTTGATGGTCTTTGGTTTTCTACTGTTTCTCAGCATGGTCCAGCCATGGTTATAGCCCTGGCCAAAAATACCATGCTATGTTGTGGGATGTTTTGCATCATATATAGTATGGACTTAGACATAGAGAATTTTTTTTTCTATTAGCTGACCAGACAAGTCTAGTAGACCTTTTAAAGTTGTTACATGTACTCCAATGTAAACTTTAAGAGTTCATTCAGACCTTTCAGTTTGCTAGCATTGTGCACCTTACCTAAACACATAGCAATGCAATAGTGTACTATGGTGCTCTATATTTTCAAAAGCATCCCAATGCACTAAGGCAACACACCTTTGATACAAATGAATTACAGTTCATCTCTATCCATGGTAATACCCTGCCATGCACTGTGATATGCTGCTTTGGAAAAAAATGCTATGTGTCAGATTTTTGGTGGGTTGAAAGCCTATTTCAAATGAATGGGCTACCTTAGCACAAGCCCCATTGGGTTGAAAGCCCATTTCAAATGAATGGGCTACCTTAGCACAAGCCACATTAAGACACATGCAAAACACAATGATCTGAAACATCATACTTGCTGTAACTATGTGATTGCTTATTAAAGCTTTGGACCCATAACTGGAGATCCTTGGTGTGCTGGTGACGTTCTTCTCACCTGAGTTTTTTCGGTTCCAGACATTGGTCGCTTCAGTACCCACTTACTCATACATCTATTTTTTAATAATAATCTGGGGTGGAGCTCAAGAGAGGGGCCTACCTGTTGGCAGGAACTGGAGAGGAGGATCTCTTAGCCTCACTGTCCCCTGAGTGAGGACCACCTGTGGAGAAAGGAAGGAGCCAGCCCAGCATAAGGCCTGAAGGCAACCACCAACCCAACAACCTCACAGGAGAGGACTGAGTGAGTAATCCTACACCCCCTGGGCCAGATAAGGGGATAGAGCAGTCAGGTGGCAAACCCAACTAGCTCCTCATCTGGAGCTGCTTTGCCAAAGTTGCAGTTTCTGGATCCCTTTGCCCAGGGATACCCAATGGCAGCTGGGTGAAGAGGAGGATTCATCTGGAGTCTGAGGTACCCCAGAAGGTCTGGAGAGCTGGAAATACTTTTATTTTTTTTTTGTTCACATCTGTACATAGTTGCTAAGGAGTTTGTCCTCAGGTTTCTACAGTTCCTTGGGCATCCCATGCACCCCTCAACCCCATCCAAGTTCAATACTCTTTAATATAACATAAAACCAAGCTCAAGGACTGTTTACTGCCTCCCGTGTGCAAGTGTGGAGGAAAATGTGTGTTGCCTGGCTGCGCAGGACTATAGGGGGACCCCAAAACTCCTAAGGGGGTAGTGCTACACCTATAAAAGTCTATTTAAAAAAAATAACATTGTACTGATTGAAGTCTCCTTGTATGAAACGGACTCCATCGTCTACAAAAATAAAATCCTGAGGAGATGTGGCTAGGAAGAAATATTTAATCTCATTCTGGTTAAAGTGTAATTGTGGAAAATATTTTGAGAAATGTGCAGAGGGAAATGCTGTAAAAGGGAACTTGGAGTGATATGCCACACACATAGTGGGTTATATACTAAAACTGGCAACTGCAAAATCTGGTGCAAATGTGCATATAAACCAATCAGCTTCCAGATTTTATTGCCAAAGCTTAATTGAACAAGCGGAAGTTAAAAGCTGACTAGCTACCATGCACAGCTGCACCACATTCTAAGTGTACTAGTTTTAGTAAATCAACCCCATCGAGTGCACAGTTTACAAAATGAAATTGTGTGGGGCAGAGAATGTACAGCACAGTGTGCAGTGTTGGATGGTGTGGTGCAGATAATGTACAGCAAAGTATATAGAGTTGGGTGGTGTGGAGCAGTAATGTATGCACAGTGTATAGAGTTGGATGGCATAGAGCAGATAACCTACACCACAGTGTATAGAGTTGGATTGCATGAAGCAGATAATGTACAGCACAGTGTATGAGTTGGATGGCGTGGAGCATATAATATATAGCACATTGTATAGAATTGTATGGCATGGAGCAGATACATTATAGCACAGTGTATAGAGCTGGATGGCATGGAGCAGATACATTATAGCACAGTGTATAGAGCTGGATGGCATGGAGCAGATAATGTACAGCACAATGTATAAAGTTGGATGACATAGAGCAGATAATGCACAGCACAGTGTATAGAGTTGAATGACATGGAGCAGATAAAGTATAGCACAAGGTATAGAGTTGAATGGCATAGAGCAGATAATCTACACCACAGTGTGTAGAGTTGGATGGTGTGGAGCAGTGAATGTACAGCAGCATACATAGAGTTGGATGGTGTGGAGCAGTAAGGTACAACACAGTGTATAAAGTTGGATGACATGGAGCAGATTATGCACAGCACAGTGTGGATGTAATTCCCTATTCAGTAAGGTGTGCTCCATATTTCTTGTACAGGCTATCACAGCATTTACAGCAACATCTAGTAAGGACGGTATCTATGCAGAGACCAAGATGTGGGACAAGTAATGGACATGCTGGCATAGATCCTTACCTTCATCTTCTGCCCTCTCTACCAGGATTATAGAGTCATAGTCAAAGTAAATGATGAGTTGGCCAGTACAGATTGTGCAGAAGAAAATAGAAATTCATCTGCATGTAGGAAGAGATCTCCATACAGAGACTGGGAGGATTGGATGATGGATGGGTTAGTGTCACTGTTGTCATTTTGCCTAAAACTACAAAAATCCTTTAATACATAAAAGTAAAAAGTACAGATGAGTACAATTTTATTGAATGTAGACAGAAAATTAAAACATAAACTAATATTTCCCAAACCCATTATGTCAAAAGGCTATATATTTTTGGTAAGAAAGCAGAAGAGGTCCAGAGCCGGCAATTACTTACATTTTCTAGGTGAACTCCCATAGCCAAAATGTAGTAGAAAATTACAAATAAAAAATGAAAAGTGGTAATTGGCAAATCCGATTTATGATTTTCAGTTCCTCATTAGTAGTTAGACAGAGGCTTGGCTTACATGCCTCGTATGCTTATGGAACTCATCAAATCAGAGAATGAACTTAAATGAATTTGTTTTGATCCTCAGGGACTGATTACATATATTGTTTGCAAATAATAAAAGACCTTACTAATTAAGTATTGTATTAATTGAACAACTCTTCAGGTAAGCAGCTGACGCAAATCTCCTGGGATGATCTGTGTATATATATATATATATATATATATATATATATATATATATATATATATATATGAAAATATTATAGTGTATCTCTAGCCAATACATATATTTTTTAGTTGATCCAGAGAATTCAACCAACCGCCCCTGTGGCCCTATGAATAGCAGGGAAGTAAGATTTAGGATGAACCCCAATGGCAATGTCATTGACCAAATATTGTCATGTGGCCATATCAGGTCAATTATGTCACCAGCATCCCTGCTGCTTTGTTACGGCTGATTGGGATGGTGGCCTGCTATCATGTACCAGCTGCTTGTAGGTTCGGTCCAAACCTTAGTTCATCAATACACTGCAAAAGGGATGATCTCAGGTTCCTGCTTACTATGAGTTTGACCTGAATCATTTGCAGTTCAAGGAAATTGCGTACTATTGTGCCCATTTGCTCCCATAACAGTCACTTGGCCTTCCTGGCTTCCAAACTGGGGTTCAGTAGCTTAGAAGAGCCAGTCATGGGGTTTTTCTCATGTGTCAGAAGTGGAGAAGTAATGGAAAGATCATGGACTGCTGGGAAAAATACTAATGTTGGTGTTAATTGCTGAAAATGCCTATCTATATATACTGTACATTGAGTCAGAGAAAGACTAAGCTGTAGGCCATTGAAATTATATGTAAATTAATTGTGTGTAAATAGAGCAAAATCAAGTGTTCTTTGGCTACATTCACTGCAAATCACAAGTTATTCATTGAGAAATAACAGTGTGAAAAGGGAAAATACCACTAGATGGTGCTGAGTATCATAGAAAATAAGTATGCCCTTCATCTCCATCCAGTGGCCATAATGTTTATGTGTGGATCCTGTTCAAAATGTGGTCTACTAAAAGTGCTTAAATACAATGCATAAAGTCAGTACAATATTTATTACAGGTACTTATATAGAGCTGTCAATTTACACAGCACTTTATTTATATATATTGTACAATTACATCAGTACCTAACACTCAAGGAGCATACGATCTGAGGTCCCTAGCTCACATTCATACATACATATACTAGGACCAATTTAGATAGAAGCCAATTAACCTACCAGTATGTATTTGGAGTGTGGGAGGAAACCCATGCAGCCACAGGGAGAACATGCAAAATCCAGGCAGGTGGTGTCATGGTTGGGATTTGAACAATGACTCTAGGGCTTCTGGGCAGAAGTGCTAAACACTTATCCACTGTGCTGCCTTTCTAACCACTTCCAGTCCAGACACTTTTACCCCCTTCCTGTCCAGGCCAATTTTCAGCTTTCAGTGCTATCACACTTTGAATGACAATTGCGCGGTCATGCAACACTGTACCCATATGAATTTTTTAGCATTTTTTGAGACAGATA